GGCGGATCCCGGGCACGGGGCCGCCCTCCGCGCTCCTCCCGCGCACCGGGGCCGCAGGAAGCGCGGGCTCCGGTTACCGGGCTCGCTGCCCGTCATCGCTGCCCAGCGGGAGCCCTCTCTCTGCCCCGGCACTCACTAGTGGGCTCCGTGGGCAAACGGGCCACGTTTTGTCCTTGTGCAGCTGTATGACAGAGTAAAAGGATGGTTCCTTTTATTTTCCTTGGTGTTGGGAAGGAAAAAAGAGTCAGAAAACTCCTTAAAAATATGATTTGATAGCTGAAAAGATTGCTTGCTGTGCTGTCAGCAGCAGAAGTGCAAAGTTCCACTTTTCCCCCCTTTGTTGGGTGTTTTGATCTCCTACCTGCCACACATTTGCAAGGTGGGAGAACAGGCACTGGGCTCGGCCGTGGAGAACTGAGGAGCCTCCAGAGCCTCCTGGTGAGCTCAGGTCTAGGCTGGAGATTACTGAGCAAGACCCAGGCTGGTAAATGTGCTGCACAGGAGCAGCAGCAGTATTTACTCTCAGGTTGTTTTGGAGTTGTTTCCCTTGCCAATGAATTCTGATCTCATTGGAGGATTGACACGGAACGTGAGGGTTTGTTTAATAAGACTTGCAGCCCTTGTACCCTCTAATTAAAATGCACATGAAAGCAGTGGGTGTCCTGCTGTCTGTGGCTGCCTTAAAGGTATGATTTACTTGACTGTGCAGATGAAATAATTAAATTACTTGGAATAGGAAGTGTAAATCTTTGTATATCAGCTCAGTCTTCTCTTCATCTAACTTAGAAAGCCATGTTCTGGGTAGACGTGTTATGGTTTGTAAAATGTAGGCTGGAGAACATGCATATGGCTAAAGATGCTTTTGTAAGAAGAGGGAGTTGAATTTTTGGCAGAAACATGCCCAGTCTGTTAGGGGAGCAGTGTCTGCTTTGGGCAGCCTGTGCTAGTGATGTCTGGGCTGCAGGAGCGTGGTGGTTACAGAGCTGTGAAACACCCCAGGAGGGGACTGTAGGGACTTGCAAAGTACATTCTGAGTTGACTTTTCATCTCCTGTTCTTCCTGATGGGTCCAAGTTCTGGCCTTGGATTTGTTTGCTTGAGATTGCAAAACAGACAAGACAGACAACATCTTCAGGAGCTCAGGTGGTACTGGTGGACACAGTCTGTTTTGGAACACAACCTCTTTGGTTTATTCTTTTTTTTTGAGCTGTGGGTATGTTCATGTTTACAAGAACAAAGCCCAAATCCTGTTTTGAAACAGGTCGAACCCCTGTCAGTCATGTTGCCAAAGCCTCTAAAGCTTTAATTTGTCTCTTGTGATTTTAGCAGATACATTGGGGGCATCATGAATTGGAATAAAGGTGGACCTGGTACTAAGAGAGGCTTCGGTTTTGGTGGATTTGCCATCACACCAGGAAAAAAAGAGGAGCCTAAGCTCTCTCAGCAGTCTCACAGTGCGTTTGGAACAGCCGGTTCTTCTGCTGCATTCGCGAAGTCGGGACCTCCTCAGCTGCCTTCTTTCTACAAAATTGGGTCAAAGCGAGCAAATTTTGATGAAGAGAACGCGTAAGTAGGGTTATTGCTTGTGTTTATCGAGCCCTAGGTGTTAGTGTTTCAGAGTTCCCAAGGTCAGGGAAGTGTCTGTGACATTTATGGGGTTTAGTTATGAAAAGCCTGCTTGAGGATTAATACCCTAGCACTGGTGTCACAGAACCCCAGGAGCTTTATGGTGACAGTGTCAAGAGAAACTGAGCTAGTCCCATGCAGGAGCTCCTGTCACTGCTCTGCAGCAGACTTTTGGTGTCACCCTGGACTGATTATTGACTCTTTCTCTGGGTCCCAGCCCATCATCTGTAAAATGAGGATGATAATATCCCCTTGCGTTTAAATCAGTTTTAAAGCCTGTGAGATACTACAGCAGCCAGTGAAGAGCTCTCCTCCTCTAGCTTTCCTGATGTTCCCTGAGAACATCTCTCAGCTGAGCCTCACTCAGCTCAGTCTTCTTCATGCTGTGCTCTGAACAAGGCTTTGCCTGAGGCAGCGTTTTCAGAATTGGAGCCAAGCAGGATAAATTTGGGTGTCTCTTGCACAAGGAAACTTTCAACTCCACATTTCTTTACTAACCCTTCTATTAGTTGCATAAATGCTTTTAGAGGGAACGTCAGAAAAGCATCCTATATTCACCAGCCTGGGAGAGCCACTCAAGATAAGTTTCATAACATCCGTTTTCCCTACCACAACTTTTATCTTACAGTATGAATAATTGTAGAGAAACACATAAATCTCAGGATCTTTTCCATTGTATGTCTTGACTTTTATTATCGATTTCTGTGGGGGAAACTTGTCTCAACTCTGAAACCATGCAAGACAGCTGTAGACTGTGTGCTGACTGGCCCATGGTTTGTTTCTTTTCAGGTACTTTGAGGATGAAGAGGAGGATTCCAGCAATGTCGAGCTGCCATACATTCCTGCAGAGAATTCCCCCACTCGCCAGCAGTTTCATTCCAAATCAGCAGACTCTGACAGCGACGACGATCCTCTGGAGGCGTTCATGGCTGAAGTGGAGGCAAGACCCAGCTTGTGAAACGTTTACCAATTCATGTGGCCACACTGCTCTCCAGTCAGGAGCAGCAAATGTCACTCCTGGCTTTGGCAGCTGTACTCAGAATGTCACTTAGTTTCTGAGATGGATTAGGTGCAGAGAGGGCAGATATGATTTACAGTAGCTTAACCACTTACCTGTTTTGAGCATGTCAAAGAGCTTTGTGTGTCTCTGAATAAGAAATGAAGGGTTTGTGCATCTTGCACTACCTGAATTGAAGAGATTTGTATTTATCACAAGCTGTTCCTTAGCTACAGTTCTGTTATTAGCTGGATATTTCACATTGTTTTCAGGAGAAGTACAGAGAATGCATTTTTTTCAACAACGTTGCCACAATTACACAGCATATAAACTTCAAAGGTGTTGGGAAATTTTATTTAGCATACTAGGATGTGGAACAAAAGAAAGTTTAGCCCAAAAAGTGTTGTCTTTGTGGCATGATAGTCTGGAAATGTGAATGTAGGAACAGTTTTCCCTTCCAAGTTTTATCATCTCATTTTTTTTTTTAACATGTCATAATTTTATGACCTGTTAGGATCAAGCTGCTCGAGACATGAAGAGACTTGAAGATAAAGACAAAGAAAAAAAGAATGTCAAGTAGGTTCTCTTTTGTAATTCCTGTGCCTGCCTGTGTCTTGTGTCATGCTAAGAGAATTCTGATGCATTTTGTTGATGATGGTTGTTCTGTAGGGAATATAGTATATACTTAGTAAAACAACATTAACCAGCACATGATATCCCCCATGGGGAAAGTTCTTTGCAGTAAAAATTGAATTAATAGGAGGGAAGAATCCATTGTGGCATTCTACAGTGAAGTGTAACAACACTGAGAGTTATCTCTCACCAGAAGCCTTTCTAGGGCATGCAAACTAGGGCAGCATGTTGTGCTGCCACCACCTTCCAGATCAGACTGAATAGTTTTTCTTCTTTCCACATCCTTGTGGTGATAAGGGTGGTTTAGTTCAAAATTGCACTTTCGTGAGCAAAATAGCTTGGTGCTGCTGTACCTGTAGCACTGGAGATTGTTCCAAACTTGAACTGGGTTTTAAGACAGTCCCTGTAAAGCTGCTTTATTTAGGTAGCACATGGCAGTTGGGATACTAAATTTGGAGTTTAAAAACAGGTTAAGGTTTTGCAGCTTATGTATCTGTTTTTTACCAAGGAAAGTAATTCTGCTGTTGATTCTTGATGTAAATGTCAGATACATTGGTAGAACTTGTATTGCATGGGGTTGATCAGATTATACATGGTCCTGAAACAGAACACCGGATCCAAATCACCACCTGGGGAAGTTCTGAACTGGATTTGCTCTTCCTGGCTCATATTCCGCTTCAGTTCTGGGACTTCCGTAGCATCGAGAGCTTAGACCAGGATGATCTTTGCTGTGGCTCCTGCTGGGAAGATGGAACCCTAATCTTTCAGTCCGTTAATAGACGTAAAAAGAAATCCTTGCAGGGTTGCTGTTGGCACAAAATATGAACACTCCATGGGTTGGGATTATGAATGTTACCCAGTTGTTAGTGTTGTGTCTTCCACCAGATATGGAGCTCAGCACTAATCGAGTGAAGGTATGGAGCTGAGTATGTGGAACACTTGCAGGGAAGTTTTTTTTCTCCGCTTGTTTTTCCAGGGGTATTCGAGATGACATTGAAGAGGAAGATGACCAAGTGAGTTCCTATGCAGTCTTTCTATCTTCTTTTTTTTTGTCGTTGTCTTGTTTCTTTTTCTAACTTCCCTCCCCAAGTATATAACTACTAGGTACAAAACTCCAGTACCATGCGCAGTGTCTGGACAACTCAGCAGGCAGCTCTAGTGGTCATCCTGCTGTCTCTACCCTTCTAGGTGTTTCACTAAAAAAAAAAGAAGAATATTAGGAGATAATTTCATTCTTTTTTACTCCATTTAAGAAGATCTTTTTTTCAGTCGATTTGAACTTCCTGTGTGATTTTTTCAGTACCTGAGGGTCTCATCAAATCTGAAATTGGCAGAATGAACTGACATGGAGCACCAGTGAGAGGCTGTTAAATTGTGGAGGCTATTTGCAGTAAAATTTCATGGCTATTAAGGGCAAGAATCAGGCTTTTTGCTCTTTATGTTCAGAGGAGCTCCAGTTCTGATTGAGGATTATAATCATCTCTGTTGACAAATAATAAACAAAGAGGAAAGACTTAATTTCAAAATGTACCTTGCTACTGAGTTGCAGTTAATAACTACTGTGCTACTCGCAGTAACTGGGAGCATGGAAGGGTTGTCTGGCCTCTAGGGCTTTGCTTCCAGTTTGCTGAGTGTAGCTGTGCTAACATTTGAGCAGAGGTGACCTACACTTGGAGACAGTTCTGGTTCAGGTGTGTCGTACGTGGACATGGCCAAGTGATCATCTGCCATGCAGACAAGCCATGAGTATATATTTCTGTTTGTAACTGAACCTTACTTTAAAAATCTGATCTTAAATATTTGTTTGGAAGTCAGGTGAGACTGGTGTTTTCTCCCTGAGAATGTCTTGGCATGCCAGGGAGGTTCTGTGAGACACGTACATCTTTGTGAGCTGCAAGGATGGATGTGACAGTGACTTCTAAATTGGGCTTGTGTTGAAGGACTCTTCTGAATTAGTTTCTTTCCCGTTTGCTGTTGACTCAATGAAAAATAGATGTATTTTCTTTTCTTAGAGACTAGCTAGGGGAAGTGGAGAAACTATCTTTAGCATAGTGTGTTTAAAAACAATATAAGCATTGTACTTAGTAACATTGTGTTCTCTGTTTAAAAACCTGCAGCACTTGCACTTTGTTCATGTGGAAGTAAGAATAGATTCTTCTACTCTTAATTCAACAAGCCTTGGTAGAAGGAGTTGTTAAGTAAACATGTAAGAGAAGTTTGTTTTTTGAAAGCATTTTGTGGTCTGACACTGTAGTTGTTTTCTTCGTTTGTACTTATTGTCCTTTTTCTGGACGTAACTGTTGGTATTAGAAGAATCAATTCTAGTGATCGTGGCTTTTTTTCCTCAATGGTGGGAGTGAAAGCAAACCACCATCTAGCACATACTTCATTTAAATAAAGGTAGTAGTACTTTTGAGTCCCATTGGATGTGATTTTACTGATGTGTTTTGCTGCAGGAAGCTTATTTTCGCTACATGGCTGAAAACCCCACTGCTGGTGTGGTCCAAGAAGAGGAAGAGGATAACCTGGAGTATGATAGTGATGGGAACCCAATTGCACCATCCAAAAAAATCATTGATCCTCTACCACCTATAGACCACTCAGAGGTAGGAAGGAAGTTTATTCCATTCTGTTCTGAGGCATTCTAGAAAGCAGGAGCTACAAAGCAGATTGAAATATGCTTCTGTCCTTGTAGTATTTTAGTGCTCTCCCACATGAGTCGTGCTAAAGATCCTTGAAATGGCTTCATGTTCAAATGTTCTTGCAGACAGTTAAGAACTTTAGACAAAAAGGAGCTTTCCCTTCCAAAACTAAGTCCACAGAGAGGCTCTGGAGTGCTGGACTAACTGAGTAATTTCCCTTGCAGATTGAATATCCACCGTTTGAGAAGAATTTCTATGATGAGCATGAGGAGATCACCAGTCTCACCCCACAGCAAGTGGTGGAGTTACGTCATAAGCTAAATCTCAGGGTAAGCTGCTCACAAAAAATCTTAGCATCTTTTTCCTCTCATTTTTTTTTGGACTGTCTTAATAGTTTTAATGAAGATTTTCACAGGAAACACCAGCTTTTGGATACCAAGGATCTTGGACACCTTCAGTCACTTTGATTTAAGGGAGCTTGATTTTACCTTAGCAGATTTTCAGAGTGTTCTCTGGATTTTTCCAGGTGGGCACCAATGATTGCCAGTTGCATGGATGCACTTGGACTTAAAGAACTCCAGAGCTAGGAATTGAAACTGGAAATATATGCAAGAATTATTTTTTTTGCTATTTGTGACATGTGACTTTCTATGAAGGGAATTAAATGAGGAAGAAGATGAGTAATATGAGGAGGTCAACGTGATGTTTAGTAGCTTATGTTGATCAACAATTTATCTACATTTTTAAACCTGAAAGTGTTATTTACACAACACATCTGGAATTTGCACCTAGTTAAACTTAAGTCTATTCAAAAAAGTCCATTTTCAGAGGCAGAGAGACTCCATTTTTCATTTTTATACTATTTACTCTTCATTTTTCTCTTACTCTTCATGAACAAAGATATGTTTCTCTTTCTAAGGTGTCTGGTGCTGCTCCTCCGAGGCCTGGCAGTAGTTTTGCTCATTTTGGGTTTGATGAGCAACTTATGCATCAAATTAGGAGATCAGAGTATACTCAGCCCACTCCTATACAATGTCAGGTGAGTGCTGGTACTTCTCTGACATCTAAAGAGAGCTGACAGAACACATGCAAAGGTCCCTAGGCCATATAAGGATGTACACAATTCTGGTTTGCTACGTAGAGATGTCATAGAGAAGAATAATTTATTTTCTAGGAAAATAGCTTTGATATTTTTTTAAACAGAAGTTTAGCCACTTTTTGTCTTGTTAAATCACCACTGTAAACATATCCATATTCTTTTCTTCATTTGTCTCTTGGTGATGACTGAAGAGCAAGTGACATCTCTTATACAAATGTATGAAAGGGAGGTTTTTTTATTATGTTATTTTAGAAATTGTATTAATTTTGGCAGTTAGAACAAATGCCCTGTGAGCTGGACTATTTAACTGGTCATTCCCTGGAGAGCCATGCAGGCAAAAGGGTTCATACTGCATATTTAGATTGATTACCACAAGTAATTAAGAAGATCAATAATGTTATTATAACCACACCACATCAGACGCTGTTCTTGGAGTATGAAGGATGCCATGGTGCTGTGCCCAAGGGATGACCTTAGTCCATACTGCTTGTAAAAAGCTGCAGTTGGGGGGTTCTCACAGCAGCAGTAGGGGTGAGGTGAGGACTTGTGCACTCCAAGTGATTACAGAAAGAATAGGCTCAGGGAATTTGGTTTTAGCTTTCTTAGAGTCAGACAAGATGTGGTTGTGTACATCTAACTGTATTCTTGGGGTGTTGCACTGTACCCAAACATTGATTTCATGTAGGACACCAGCAGTCATAACACAGTAATTTCTTCCAGCCCTTAAACTAATTCAGAGCTGAGCTTGGCAAAAGAACTCTGTAAGCATCAATGTGTGTTAGCTGTGAGTCCTCTGTAATGTGCTTTCCTCTTGTTAGCTGAGTTTCCACATAATATCTAGCACAAGAATATGCTGAGGTAGGCATAATATGGGTTTAGAATCTCCTTATTTTTAGGGTGTTCCAGTGGCACTGAGTGGCAGAGACATGATTGGGATAGCTAAGACTGGAAGTGGAAAAACAGCAGCTTTCATCTGGCCGATGCTGATTCACATCATGGATCAGAAGGAGCTGGAACCAGGGGATGGTCCCATCGCAGTGATCGTCTGCCCGACCAGAGAGCTCTGCCAGCAGGTGAGTGTGCAGTCAGCAGTGTGTCATACTCAGAAAAGAGGCATAGGTGTGCCTCTTTGTACAGAAAAGGACAAAATCCTGGGCAGAAGTTATCAGAGAACCTCAGTAAACTATTTGAAGAAACTTCTCAGTGTGTTCATAGTGTGCCTCTGATGTCAGCTCTCCGTTCTCCCCTGCACCTCTTTTTGGTGAAGGATCATGACAAACCTGAAAGTGTAAATTTTTGCACAGTGCTCCTGTATTACTTCTAGCTATTAAGTACACTGTGGCTGCATTACCAGAAATTGTATGTGCAAAAGGTTAGAGCCTGCAGGTTAAATTATTGTCGAATGCCTAAATAAGTTTCCCAAATTACTGGGAATTATCCACAGGTATTGAAATATTCAGCCCTGAGGATTTCTGAATAATTTCACTCAGTTGCACACTGAAAAGTGGATTTCAGGAGCTGGACTCTGTTTCCAGGGTAGGTGTGTTTTCTCAGGTCTGTCTGACGTGAGCTGTGATGTGCTTGGTTTCAAATCCCCAGATCCACTCGGAGTGCAAGCGCTTTGGGAAGGCCTATAACCTGCGCTCCGTAGCCGTGTACGGAGGGGGCAGCATGTGGGAGCAAGCCAAGGCCCTGCAGGAGGGGGCAGAGATAGTTGTCTGCACACCAGTAAGTACCTCTGTGCACACAGTACCCTTTTTTGGTTGCTTAACTGAAGCTGAGACAGATTTTTCATACCCTTATTACGTTCTCTGATCACCAAAATGTAGGTTACCCGCAGGTTATCAGATGTTGAGAGCAAATATGCTGGGATTGTTATTCTTCCAAGAGAGATTAGGTATGCCCTGCAATAGATGAGAGGGTAGCAAGCAAGATCTGCTTGAATCAGTGTCAGTAGTGTGAGATACCAGCTTCTGATTGCTGAGACTTAAATTCATGAAGAAAATTCCCAGAACATCCCAAACTTGAGAATCCTTTTCCTGAATCACCATAGAGCCTGTGGCACTAATACTGGAGGGCTGGAACTTTGAATCAGAATGGGTGTTGATGCTGAACTGGTGATGTAAGTGAGCACCATTGTCAACTGGCTTTGCTTACTGTAAAAACTAGTTACAAACTTAGGCAAAGCTGAGCAGCTAATGGTTGGAGGAACTTTTATTGTGGCTATTTATTGAGGTTCCAGGCAAGAAAACAAAGTAGGAAGAACTCCTTTGCCAAAAATTGTGGGGTTAAAAAGCCAGTTCACATTTGAAATATAATTGTAATGAAGAATGGGGCATTTTAGGATGGCAGCACTGTTAAGCTTGAAAAAAAAAGTCCTAAAATTCAGCTTGTCAAGCATAGTTGATGAGAGTTTTGGGAATCTGTTTCTGTGGCTTGAATATTGACACTTCTAGACTGAAGCCTTGAGATGTTTCCTGTGCAAGTCTCTGATGAGGATAAAAAGGAGTTAAAGTACTTGAAGGTTGCACATGTTAACTTTTTCTAAAATGTTCTAAAAACTTGGCTGGCTTTTTTTTTTTTAATAGGGTCGTTTGATTGATCATGTGAAAAAGAAAGCTACAAACCTTCAAAGAGTCACTTACCTTGTGTTTGATGAAGCTGACCGAATGTTTGACATGGGGTTTGGTATGTAATGAACTGGTATTACTCTGACATTACAATGTCACTGTTTTGGAAAGCAGTGGTGTCCAGTTTCCAGCTTAGCAGGACTGTTTATAACCTCTGTACCTTCATAGACTTGAAAATACATTAGGCAAATATTTTATAGACAAAACTCTCATTTAAAAGTCTAATAAGAGATCAGTGAAGTCCTTTTGATGTCAAAGTCCAAAAACCCCAGTTTTTATTTTAGAGTTGCTGCATAACTTCTGGGCAAATCTCTTCTATGCTTTGCTTGTGTGTGTACAGCTAGTGGTGTTAAAAGAACTTTCTACTTCATTGTAAGAGGTTGTGGGTCATTCAGATCTGGATGATTTTTAATTTCTATTCAAGAATCATGGGGCATAACAAAGATTTGAAAGTACTATAATAGTGCAGAGGTGAGGAGACACTTGTAAGATGTTCAGGTTTACACACAGATTGAGTTGGGATCTTTGCTTAGGGAATTTTGTTCTAAAGGAACTTCCAAAAGTTTCTTTGTACAGCAAAGGAACTTCCCCTGTGGAGCAAAGAGCACCTAAAAGTCACAGCAGAATTAAATGCTCAGTGAGAGGCACTCATTCACTCTATGGTTATTTGTTAAATGAAACTATGAAGTTGTATTTTGAGTTATTCTACTAAATAATGACCATACACTGTTGATTAGAACATTCTCCATCTCCTTTCCAGAATACCAGGTCAGATCAATCGCAAGCCACGTACGTCCTGACAGACAGAGTAAGTAGAGGAGTGTTTCTGGATAAACTCCTGAGAGTCAAAGGAGGCTGTGTGCTGGGCTGCAAGTGAAGAATCTGGAACAGAGCTTGGGTTGCTCATTCTCCACATAGCCACACAACAAGACTTTTGCAAAAGTCCACTGGTGTTGTTCTCCATGTGGGCAGCTGGGAGGGAGCACTTGTGAGGTGTGGGTGCCGTCCATCCATCTCTAATCCCTCCACAGACTTCACTCAGGGAAAGGATGATTGGCTGAATTGAGGTTCATATGCCTTGAGATCCTGCATTCTAAGCTGCCATGAAACAAAGTTCACAGCAGTGCCACATGTTAGCAGCTTCTTATTTCAGATGCCATGAAATGTGGGTCCACTTTGAGGTGTTCTAGCAGCATGATGGATAATTTTCATTCAAACCAGTAAAACAGAGTTTAGCCTCAGACCACTGATGTCTAGTACAGTCACACAGGTTCCATTCACATCTGTGCCTTGTTTTCACAATTGTGAAAGTTGATTTTTCAGGGAAGGCAAATGCTGTGTTTTGTTCTAGCCCTCCTGTTCAGTGCCACTTTCCGTAAGAAGATTGAGAAGCTGGCCCGAGACATTCTGATCGACCCAATTCGAGTTGTGCAGGGAGACATTGGAGAGGTAATGCCACATTTCTCCTGAGACAACCAGAAAAATGAACCATTCTGCTTCTGTTGTCAGAGATTTAAGTTAAACTGCAGTAGTCATCATTGTATTTAAGAGTAAATACTTTGTGCTTAACTAAAATGAGTGAAGTTTTGTGGGCTTTTTAATCTTGTTTTACTGAGCTTTCTTTCTGCCACCAAATATAGTGATGAGAGGTTTCATCAAGGAGTGAAACATCAGTAATGCAGTGACTGATTTTTTTTTTTTCCTTTTACTAGGCTGAATCAATGGGTATATCCTTTTATTTTGTCTCAAAACTATACATAAATTACAGCTTTTGCAGTGAAGGATTTGAAAATTAGACTGATGTCTTTCAGCTTGTTTACGGGGCAGTGTTGGTTCTGTACTTGCTTGACAGCAGCAGCTGAACTCAGCAGACACAGGATTTGGTAATAAACTAATGACGTGGGCAGGCTGCACTTGCTGTGAAGAAACTTATAATATATGAAAACTGAGAACTTTCCCAAGATGCCTTCAGAACATTCTTCTTTTAACCAGTTCTCTACATTTTAGATTTTTTTTTTTTCAATCAGGAGTGTGAAGTATCCCTTTATAACAAAAAATGGATGGTACCTGAAGCCCCTTTGCGGGAAAATGTTTTTTCCTAAACATCACTTCAGAAAAGAAGCAGCTTTCCTAGCTTAACCACATGGTTTCTATTCTTTGATCTAAATTATTTTAGTAGGAGAACATCATCCTTGAAATAATTAATATTTAAATGTGTAAAACTGAATCTTTCAGGGAAACTTCCAGACAGTGTTGTGAGCTCCACTGCACTTTTCTTACTTGCAATGCACAGTGTACAGGGAGCCTGTTCATACCTCCCCTCTTGCTGACTCTGAGGCCAAGTCACAGCTCATGGGAGTGCAGGAGTAACTTTTACTGAGGAGCATCCTCTCAGCCCCTGCTCTGCACAGTCTATTTTAGGTGCTAACAGCATCTGTTGCAAGAACATCTAAATTGCAAGTACCCATCTTTAGATCAGCAGGGTGCTAAACTGCATCACGTCAGAGTCTGCACTCTGCCTCTCTTGAGTTTAGCAGAGTGGCTCATTTAACCCCTGCCCTATTTGCCCTGTCAAAATGAAGTGGTCAGCAGTCCAACAAGAGCTGAAACCTCTCTTACAGGAGAATTTAGGTCCACTGCTTCTCCACTTTTTATTCTCACACCTAGTTTAAAACTCCTCATTTTATTGTGCTGTATGTTTGGTTGCCGTCCTGTCACTTCCATCCTGAATTATTCCTTCTCTTATTTCTCCCCTTAGGCCAATGAAGATGTTACTCAAATTGTGGAGATTTTCCCCTCTGGCCCCAGCAAATGGAACTGGCTGACTCGACGCCTCGTGGAGTTCACATCTTCTGGGAGTGTTCTCCTCTTTGTCACCAAGAAGGCAAATGCAGAAGAGCTGGCCAATAACCTCAAGCAGGAGGATCATAATCTGGGGCTGCTTCATGGTGACATGGACCAGAGTGAGAGGAATAAAGTCATTTCAGAATTTAAGAAAAAGGCAATCCCAATACTGGTGGCTACTGACGTGGCAGGTATGTGATGTTCTAAGAAACAGTAGCTCCTACAAGTTGTGGACATCAGCAGAATAGCCAAGACCTTTCAGTGGAGGGCAACAAGGTTGGCTTCTGCACCTGCTGGGTGCTGTATTCCAGATGTTTTTCAGAAGTACAGTGTTAGCAAAGGGTTTTCAAATCTTCTAATGATATTTAAAGTACAGTCTAAGAGATGTTTTTTAATATACAGAAATAAAATAGGCCATTTCTTAAGGAAGTAGGTTGCTATTTCTTAGTCAGCTGACATGTTAAATGAAGAGGAGAAAGACACACTTGAAACCTTCTCTAGAACAGCTTTTGCACCCAGAAGCTGAGCTGAAGAAAGAGTGAATTTCAGTGTCCTTTAATAAAGCCTGCTCTCTTCTTTGGAAAACCAGCCCTTTAAAGAGACCTCTTAGAATCATAGAATCCTTTAGGTTGGAAGAGACCCTTAAGACACCTTCCCTGGTCAATCCTGTGAACTTGGGGACTGGTGTAACTCCCACCACTGTTAGATACTGCTGCACTTAGGAGTTGCAGCCTGTGGAGGGGTGAACCCTGAGGCTCAGAGGGGAGCCTCTGAACCGGGGCGTGTTCCTGTGGAAGCTCCGGTCCTGTGCTGGAGCAGGATGAAGCCGTCTGAATGGGATTGCTGTGTGTCAGTCTGGGCTGGTCACACTGCCTGCTGCCTTGCTCTCTTACAGCTCGTGGGTTAGACATCCCTTCCATCAAGACTGTCATCAATTACGACGTGGCTCGGGACATAGACACACACACCCACAGGATCGGGCGCACCGGCCGTGCGGGCGAGAAGGGGGTTGCCTACACCCTGCTGACTCCCAAAGACAGCAACTTCGCTGGTGATCTGGTCAGAAATCTGGAAGGTGCCAATCAACATGTTTCCAAAGAGCTGTTGGATCTAGCAATGCAGGTACGAACAGGCAAAATTCCAGGAGCAGAGGAAGGTTCCTTCTGTGATCGGCACAAAATGAGGAGCTCAGGGGCCTGTTTCTGGCTCCATCACATGTTAGCAGTGACCTTTTGGTGCTCTCTACTCTTTTTAAGTACTAGTAGTTTTCTAGTGATTTTCATGGCCTTTGAAAGAACCCATGAGGATTTTGGATGTTGTATGTAATCTATTCTGGGGTCAGCCACTGCCTGGGAAATGAGGAGCTGTAATCTGGCTGATGGCAGCAGAGCACTCCAGCTCCAGGACCTCATTACAATCAGATTTTCGATACACATTTACGGCAGGCAGCTGGGAAATGCAGCTCAGTTGAAGGGTAATCTAGAAAATGATTACATGGACCTTCACTCTGTGGAACAGGTGTCAGTGGATCATTGTACCTGCCCAGCAGTGCTGTCTGGCAGGCTGGCTATATATAGGTATGACAGAAAGCTGAAGCTGTTGTGCTTGGGCCACTACTCGTCAGCTCTTTTAAGTTCTTGTCTTTTGCTGCCTGTGTAGCTACAAGAGAGCAAAGGCTTTTTTGGTACTTCTCAAATTCAGAGGTGGATTATCATGCTTGTGGCTTCGGTGCCAAGTAAACATTTTTTCTGAGGTACAGAGGCAGCATTTTCAGAAGGGATGGAATTTGTAAGGAGAGCTCCACAGGCTGCTGTTGAGAGGGGGTGCAGAAGCTGAACAGCTTGGCTTGCTGGCTTCTTCAAATTCAAAGAAATTTTGGGACTTAAAAAGAGGTGCAGCCAACCACTATTTAAAAGCCTGGTAGCAGGAGGTCTGGTTGAACTACTCTTTCCTGGCCTGCTTCTTGCAGGAAGTTTTGCTGACAGAACCTCATTTCTCCTTAGCCAGGCAGTGGCTACATCAATAAAACCCAAGCATGAGAAGATGCAGAGCTCCCAAGTGAATGGCATTAAAAATGGCATTTATTCCTGGGATTACCAGAATGCATACCCCCCAAAGTTTAACACAGGTGAAAGTTCAGGGCATAAAATTAGTTTTCATAAAAAGCATTTGTAACAAAAGCTTCAGACCCTTGTGACAGAACTGGCTGCAGCTTGGTTTCAAAGCAGCACTGTCACATCTTTCCCCCTGCAGCAGCTGCCTCGTCGAGTGGGAAATGGTGTATTTCTGTTTTAATTTTGAAATTCTCAAAATCCTCTTTTCTGAGCCTTGTTACTTGCATTTATGAAGCTTCTTATTCCCTGTATTGAGAAGCATTTGTCCCTCTCTTGTGCAGAACCCGTGGTTCAGGAAATCACGTTTCAAAGGAGGAAAAGGCAAGAAGCTGAATATTGGTGGTGGTGGCTTAGGGTACCGTGAACGTCCTGGCCTGGGGTCAGAAAATGCAGTAAGTAGAGACACTGAAGAAGTTCTTCACAGATCTTTGGAACTTCTAAACTTAGTATTGTCTACTCTTTAATTTAAAAAACAAGTCTTCTTAGTACTGGATTATAGCCTCTGCTTTCAAAGGTCTTCATAGCTCAGAATCTTCCAGAGGTTAGTATCAGAAATATCTCAGGTGAGACTGTCGTGTGCTGTTCTGTTCTCCTCTTGTTAAGAGCCACCTTCTTTGGTCAGAGTTATCCCAAAGGTTTGGAGATTCTTCCCAAAATAGACTGTCAATGCAAAATAAATGCTAATACATTACTTGGAAAGCCTGATTCTTGGCAGCAAGAAGTCTTGCAGCATTGGGAATGCTTCCCAAGGTACATCCAGGTTAGGAAAACAGCTCCTTGCCAACACGTATGGGGACAGAGCTGAGCTGTAGACACGTTGAAAACACACCATGTTCAGCAGCTTTCCAAAAGCCCCAGCTGAAGCCTTGTTCACCCTTTGTCTTGGCTGCGACCTCTGAAAATCTCCATTTGATGGCCTTTTGCTTGTACTGCAAGGAGCCAGGAAACGTGGCTCTGCTGTGGACTAGTGAGTCACAAAGAATTAAAGCATCTTTGCTTTCCTGTCATCCTCAATGTCACGGGGCAAATAGTTCTGCTGGTCAGCACGCCAGAAGTCTGCCATCCTTAGTAGGGGTACTTCCTGAGTGCAGGATCAAGATGGATTTGGAGAATGCTTGAACTGAGTGTCTGTGTTGGGTAAATCTCTCCAGTTGTCCTTTGTCTTTTTGCACAGGACCGTGGCAACAACAACAGTGTGATGAGTAACTACGAGGCGTACAAGCCGTCCACGGGGGCGATGGGGGACAGGCTCACAGCAATGAAAGCAGCTTTTCAGGTTGGTTCCATCACTTCTGCTCCAACCTCTAATCAAGAGGAAACGAAGAATTTTGCTACTGATGATTCAAAACAGTTGTTTTTTTCTCCCCTCAAAGTACAGAAACCCTGTTGATTTAGTGGTGTCCTGGCAGTGCTGGGTTAACGGTTGGACTTGGTGATCTTCAAGATCTCTTTGAACCAAAACAATTCCATAATTTCTATTTCAGGGAGGCTGAGTGGTCATTATGGCCACATCTCCTCCACTTGGAGCACACACTGAGCGTTGGGCTCCGAAGGGGTCCGATGAGTATGCACACCAGGCTGAATGTGTTTGCACAAAGTTAATTTGCCAAATTTACTTTGGTTTCTGCTGTCTCTTTGCTCTCTTTC